TTGAATATATATAAAATAAAAATGAAATACTTATAGTTAGAGTATATAAGTTTATACGTGTAATTACTAAATGAATTAGTAATGTATAATTAATATTAGATATGACGTGTTATAAATTAGATTACAAAATAAAGTAAGTGATGTATATCATACAACAAATTCTTGAAAAATGTTTTTTATTGACCCTTTGAGTACTATGAAAGTTTATAGATCTAGTAAAATTTTCATGATTGTCGAAATACAAATTACGTGTTATTCGTATATTTATTTTATGAGAAAAACTTAACCCTGTGTACATAGATAATTTATGTTTTTATACAATATGTGATACAAAAAAAAAAAATTCTACAGATACTTCATCGTGTAAATCAGTGTCTAAAGTACTTTGTACTCAAAGGGTTAAATGAATGCTGGTTGATTTCCTTTTTATAATTATGAATAAATTTAATTTGTTAATATCTTTTTCGGTGCATGGATGCGACTGTGCCTTAACAATGAACTTTTATCAGTAAATGATTTTTCACATTCTACACATTTATACGTTCTTCCAGTATGTGTAACTAGATGTCTACTAAGCCCAGATGCATGACAGAAGGCTTTAGGGCAGAGTTGACAGTGATGCAATTGAATATCATTTGGATCAAGTTTTTGGTGTCTTCTCATGTGCACCTTTAATGCTTCACGTTGAGTGAAGCTCTTATCGCAGTGTTGACACTGGAAAGGTTTTTGTCCAGAATGTGTCATCAAATGTCTAAGTAAAATTTCTTTCTGGGCAAATGCTCGATGACAAATGTTACAACCAAATGGTTTTTCACCTATAACAAATTATAATTTGAGAAAATGAAAAATGCTTGTAACTAATTTAACAATTTTCGAATGTAAATAATGTATGTATGCTACAATTATTCTATTTACCTGTGTGAGTACGTTCATGCCTCACTAAAGCTGATCTTGTGGGGAACCACTTTTCACAGGCCTGACATGTATAGCCCCTTTGCGTCGAATGAACAGATTGATGGCTCTTTAGCATTACCCTTCGAGTAAATGCTTTCGGACATTTATCACATTTAAATACCTTCAATTCTTCACTGGCTTCAACTATAAAGAGACGATATATTAGAAGAATTTCTTAGTATAACTTTTATTTGTTGGAAAATTTCGTAAAGTAATTACCTATGGTATCCGAAATGGGTTGCAACTTCATCGATTCTCCTTGTCCAGAATTATTACTGGTAACTTCCATCATGTAAATATTTTTGTGGTCAGCATTTGCAATTGCTCTCTGTACTTCTTCCGCTTCATCTTCGGATTCCTGTTCTTGTTTAATACGAGTTGTACGTATTGTACAACGTGCTTTAGCAGTACGTTCTTCGGCAGGTACCAATGTAATATTTTCTGGATCTTCCGACATGGGCTCTTCCATTTCCAAATTTTCAGAATTCATTCCTATAATACAATATGTAGTCGATGCCGTACAAAATTTAATGCTACCTATTATATTAAATCTTACGCGCTATTCAACAAATTGTTACATTTGTACTTGTTGTATTAAGTTGAACAGTTTTTACATAATGAAAATGTTATTAATACCTAAAATGTAGCCACCGACAAGTTCTTCTTCTGTGACTTCGATCGGATCTCCATCTGCCTGTCCACTATCGGCTTTGGTCGATACTAAATCAGCTAACAATTGTTTAACTTGTCTGGATTTTCCGCTATTAGAACCATCTTTTAATTCTTCTCTATTACTGTCTTGATTTTCTCCTTCTTCGTCTTGACCCGTTAATTGTTGTATTAATTTCATATGTTTTCGAAGCTTTGCATCGGCAGCTTCGCACTTCTTCTTGAACTGGTATGATTTTTCTAATTGATATTTGCACGGATGACAGATCATATTTGGAAGACCATCTTCTTCGAAAACCTTTAAAAGAAAACATTATTACCTGTATTAAATGTAACGTAAAATATTACTCAATATTTGGCCACACCTTAAAAAATGTGTCCAAAATTGAAGAAATTATGGTAAAAAGTTCTGCTCGTTCTATGAGAATGATTCTCATTTCTTGAATTCAAGGAAATCTATCGAACTTTTTATAAAAATATTTTTCTACATTCGATAATGGTAATAATAATGTATGTAGAACGATCTTTAAAGATGGTACATACATGTAAACAATTATTATATTTTCAATACAAGTGAAAAAAGTATATTTCTTCAGTGGCGTTTTACGACCACTATTAAAAACATTTGAACGTGACACATCAACAGATGTGATTTTCCCGCTGTGGCATATTAGGGATATCTAACGTGGAAGGGGATGTATAGATGCTCTATTTGTGCTAATTATATCCAGAATTGGTAATTGATCGGTAACGTTGCATTTGACTTTAAAGCGGTAACAAGGTTCTAGAAGACCGCGAGCATGGAGCAGAAAAATGCATTGATTGTTAAGTTTATCCCACATCACGTCTGTGATTCCTGTAACGAAAGCGAAGACGGTGGCGTCAGGCACAAAGTCGATAACTCGGTAAGGCCGGTAGTTGCTTTGATCAGTGTAGTAAGAATCATTTCGGATACACATACGTATAACCGACGCTCGCAACACAACCGAATCTCAAGGGAGGGGAGAGGGGGACGAAAGAAAGACAATCACACAGAGAGATAAACTAGATTCCTATTTTCGATAAACTACAAGCATCTGTGCGAAATGCAGCTAAGTAACTTGACTCGTGTTATGTTACAATCAAATAAACGTTAATACTTGCCTCCAAATTAACACAAGCCATTATTCGAAGCGATAAGGGAATAGTTTCGTCGTCATAAATCGGCACCATCTCCTCCTCCTTTGCCAGGCACAGTCGGCACAGCTCGTTCACGTGGATAATCACGTTGCTAGGGCTATCGCCCTTTTTTCTGCTGTACGTCTTCATCTCACCTTTTTTTACACTTGTTACGAATTTATTTAACTGTTGGCGTCTGAGAAACACTTAAGGGAGCGTAGAGAACGGGACTCGGTCACTCACAACGGAATCTGTAATGGCGGCGGCGGTTGGCCAATGGCAAACGTGTGGCGCTGCTGTTTGGTAAAGATGGAGAATGGAATCATACAGAAATGGAAGGGACGCTTTAGTGGGAGCAAGATAGGCAAGAATTTTAGGGTCTTCATCATCGCAAAGTCGGTAAGGCCGGTCACTATTATTGATTTTCCATTCTTCCCAACGGCGGGAAATGGATTTCCAACTGCTGCCATTGCGGCATTTTCGAATCTCTCCGAGTCTCCTTCGTGTTTATTAGACATTATTTTATAAGATCTTGTTTATCTTTCAAGTGGAATTCATTCCGAGTGGAAACGAAAGGCATTTACAGTGATTTTCATCGTTTCGTATTCATAGTATTATGTATGGAAATAATGTTTTCTCATAACCTTTATTGGGAGAACTTTGCAATGTATTGTTATCGTATATCGACTGATACAGATATTGTCAACTTGCAGGGATGCTAGGTACACAAAAGTATCGTTCCTTCTAACGATTGTTACATCTACAAAAAGTAAAAGAACCAATACGAATGTTTCCAAGTAAATGGAAAATCGATTTCGCAATAGTTATAGCATGTTCCTATTGTACCTGCCCGTATCCGTAATACGACAACATAATTTTGGTACGTACTACTTATTACTCTTTCGATAAGATACTGCATATTGTGAACGTATTCGATACTTAAACGTTATCTTTTAGTTTCTCTCTCTCTCTCTCTCTCTCTCTCTCTCTCTCTCTCTCTCGATCTCTGTTTTTATTTATTCTAACAAAATTTGAGTATATTATACGTGATTATTAAATAGATAATCGGCTACATTTGAAACTTAGATAATATTTTAAAAATTATCGATACATATTTCACTTGCAACTTTATTTATTGCACGATAAGTACTGATAAATACAAAAATTGACTGCGTATCTTAAAAAAGTTTTGTGTGCGTAGTGCAGTGTATATTTATGTAGTACATGCATTACAATGTATATATATATATAGAAATTTTGTATAGAAATTTTGCAAGAAAAAAAGTTGCACTAAATGCAATTTAGTAAAAAGAATGTACGTAATACACTAAATATTGAACATACTTAACACTGAGAATGTATTTAAATTAGAGGAAAATTGGATCTAAGATAAAGGTGCGCCAAAACTGTTACGTTTATATTAAATTAAACGTAAATTTGGACCATAATTGTTTTAGGCGTAAGTCGATTTTAAGTTAGTTCGGGATCAGGTCTTAGTTAAATGTACGTAGGTAAATAATTCAATTTGCGTTAGGTCTGGGTCAGGTCCGAGTTAGGTTTAGACTAAATCGGTGCTTTTTTCGACTTCACTTTCATATAGAAAGTTTCATTATAATAATCATTATAATAATTAATACATGTAATATTAAAACAAGAACATATGGAAAGAATTTTCATGATTCCAATTTCAACAAATGACTTTAAACATAAGACTGTTTATTACACAATTGAATAACTTATTCTACAATAATTTATTATACGCGTACACACATATTAACTCAGGTGCAGGGGGTTCCGCTCGATTTAGAAACATGCTATTGTCTAGTCTGCATCTCAGAATTTGAAATTTCCTAAATATACCGCCGCCAGGGAAGTAATAGATATCAAACGCTCAACCTTGTGATTTAAGTATGATATTTCGTTCTGCTAAGTAAGTTGCTGGTACCATAAAAATCCTATGTACATATTTTGTCAAGTAATTTTCTGGATAGAGTAATAGAAATTCTACATCGACAATTCTCTGCTACACAATTTGCTGGAATAATAAAAATTCTACGTCGACAATTCCTGAAATCCTATTTATTTATTGCACATATTTTTAGCGAGAAGCGCGATCGTTCTCAAAATCTGTGCACATATATGGATGTTTAACGCGTAAAAATCTTTGCTCCGGTAAGTTTGTTATCGACAATATGCATTTATTCGATGACAGTTAACATTGCAGAAAGCACATAGCAGTATAATCGTAGATTTCCTCCCGGCAAGTACAGTTCAGTTTGTTTGCCGAGTAGTGTATCAATGATTGATAAAGCAGAGAATCGTGACTCGATTAACCCCTGTGCGACCAACATTAACACGTTCGGTATCAACGTTAATATTGATATACAATACACGATATATCGTATTTAACCGCGAGAAAATCAAACCGATGTTGAAAGAATATTAATGCAACTGGCACCGAATAGCTTCTTCCTGCTAACATCACGAAAAAAGTTCAAGTCGTACCGAACCAATCTTAAAAAAGGGTTATTCTGTTTCAAAGCACCTTCGGAGGTTTTTTTGACCGATCGTATATCTCCCCAACGACGATATATTTTGTCTTATATTTCGTAAGAGGATACGATGGATTACATAAAATGTCGTCGATTATGAACATCGTTAGACCAGAATGCTCGCGAATAATTCTCTGTTAGTTTCGAGGCCAGCCATCGATGCGCGAACAATTTTTTCGCGACATTTACATTCCGTAGTTTTTTATATTATTATTATATATATTATATATATTATATGTTTTCTATAGTATATAATAATATAAGTATATATACTTATATTATTATAATGTAATTATTATAATATTAATATAATATATATAATAATATAAGTTAATTATATTCTTTCTGCGCACTAAACCGAAGCACGTGCATACGGTGCCAGCACGGTTCGAGTTCCACGTTCCGTCTTCGTACGTGGACGACGAAACAATCGAATAAAATAAGGAAAAATTATGTAAGTTCGGCGGCGTTCAGGTGTTCGCGGTCGTGGCCAAATTGTAACGAGCGTTTCTATAAATTCTGGTGGTGTTAGCGTGCCGCGAAACGGGACGGGAATTATTCTGGCGTCACGGTCAAGTAGAGCGCGCGGTCGGTTGGAGGGTGGTCAACGATTGTCCAAAAGAGAATTTCAGGAAGCGCAAAACGAATTTCCCACATTTGCCAGGAAAGCTGTCGGATGTTGAGATTGGCGAGGGGTGGGGATCAAAAATAACTGAGCTACGAGGAAAGGAGAGCGATTCGACGGCTCTTCCGATTGGGAGGGGGTGCTTCTCTCTTGCCGGTTACTCCGGTGCTTTCGCTTTTCCGAGTCCAGTGTGTTTCGCCACCCGAGAAACCCGCGTGCCTTGCGTTCGAACGCGAAGGTAGGTGTTCGTGCTTTGTGTTCGTCTTGTTTCAACGCTGCACGCGCCTCCGACCATCTCCGTCGAGCACCTCGGGGGATGATGACACGCGTTACAAAACCGATACAAAACTATTCCCAAGTGTTCAACGCTCGCGCGCGTCGACCACGAGACGATTCATTTTCTTATGGACACCGTTCTCTTCTTCTTTTTTTTACCAGAACAGTTCCCAAGAAGCGCTAGACGAATCATCGTTGTCGCGTCGAATTCGTTGATCGTTCAAAGTGAAATTAGGGGAGCATTGTCTCGACGTCATCTTCTTCCAAGCTGCGATCGAGAAATCTAGGTTGTTTCAGCCGAGTCGCTTTACTGAAATTATTGTATTTTTTTTTTTTTTGAAAGACAGGAGTATGTTTTTAGTATTAATTTTATGAACAGTTTCGAAGCATGCCGAACGAGATCGTTAATGTCGTGCACGCAAGAAAAATATTCTTACATTTTCAGCATCTTGTTGTCTTTTTGTGTTTCATATATTTTGGAATGGCAAGGAGTTCTATCGATTATAACCGGCGCGGACGTGCCAGCATAAATAATTAGCGCAAATTGTTTAGCACAATTTTGCTGTTCACCTTGCTCGCGTTACGATTGTTTTACTAGATATTTTCGAAAAGGATAGTTTAGTAAGGTGGAGAGAGAGAGAGGGCGAGAGAGGGAGAGAGAGAGAGAGAGAGAGAGAGAGAGAGAGAGAGAGAGGGAGAGAGAAAAGGTACGCGCGCATGCTAATATAAATTTCAAGGTGATGACATTTCAAAGTGGCTGTTAACACATTTTCGATGATGAATCAGACGATTTTACCTGACATCGGTGACGAAACGAAATTAATCGCTGTTCTCTCTCGAACAAATCTGTTTAAAAAATAAAATTTCGTTTCTGTCCATTCGAAGTCTCGATAAAAACAAAAATGAACGCTTGCTACTACCCGTTCAATTGTTCAACAAAAAAAGTGTAAAAACTTGTCATCGTCCGTTCAAGTTTTTATAATTAACCAAAGCTTCGTTAATCCATATATAATGATAGTACCTGTACAACGACATTTTTTCAATATCTTATTTCTGGACAAGCGAATGAATCGATCACTTTCGACGCGTCGAAACGTTCTACTCGGCTCCTTCGATTCGATCGCAAAGATTTTCTCGCGCCTGATCGATAGACCAGAATCTCGCATATTTTTATTAATTAGCCGGTATGTATATCGCTTTGTACAAGCTTCGCCTAAGCGCGGTTATCACAGAGGCTGAAGAGTATGCAAATATTTATGTTGGTCTTGGGAAGATAACGAGCCACGTTCGGCTCTTTCCTTTGCCGTAGCTTCGGCAAACGGCTTTGCATTCCGTGTGGCATAATTCCAATAAAGCCTGAAACCGCGAACGAAAAATAACAGTAGTGTTCCGTGAAAAATCTGGAAGAACAGTTGCCGTACGATACACATACCGTGTGTCGTGTATATATCTCAACCGCTTCGCGCGCGTTCGCTCACCGAGGCATAGGTTCCGCGGAGATTATAGTGCATAAATATAAAGTGGTGTACGAAAGCCGTGACATAAAAAAAAAAACGAAGAACAGCTGCGAAAACGTGTCCCGTTAAGGGGGAAGGGGGTGGCACCGCGGTATCGCGGTACGAAAACTTTTTGATCCCTCGTGCACACGCCGACGTCCCGCGAGAATCGGACCGTCCGAGATTTATTTTCTTTCCGCGTTACGCTTTATTTTCTCGAGAACAGCAGGCTTTCCCCTTTTCCCCGAGCTCGCTACTTCTGCCGAAAGAAAACCGTTGGTAATACGGGATTACGAAATCCTCCGGATGTATCAACGATTGTACATCCAGTTACGATTGGTTCTCGAAGCGGTCGTTGGTAACTGTCCACCGAAACCATTATCGACTACGGCATTAGCAATGTTAGGGTAGTTACCCGCGCCATGGTTAAACCACTACCGAGTTCTCGACGTTGTCATATCTTTAATTTTCGTTGTATTTTCAATATTTAAATAGAATATAAATATAGATATTATAGAATATCTAATAGATATCTAATAGATATATAATAGATAATATAGAATATCTATATTCTATAAATATTATTATTCTATAATAATATTATTCTATATTATATAAATATAGAATATATAAATATAAATATAGATATTTCACGGATGTATTGCATCAGCGAGGAACAAAGAATAAAGTATTTAAATATTATGCTTGAATAAGTATAATATAGAATTATAGCCCTTATATTATAATTCCGTATACAGTAAGTCGTGACTGCTAAAGATCTAATTCATATCTAGTGATAATTAAGCACTAATAGCACTAGCACTAATTATCCGTTTTTATCGAAATTTATTTGTTTAGAACCGATACCGAATGCCCGATGTTCGATCGAAACAATTGAGAAATACCAATATGGTAATGTCTCCCTAATTGTCGCCTAAATTGTGTAAAAAAAATGGACAATTTGGGAAGAGGAGATGCAATTATTCGAGGCTCGCGGCTCGTTTTTATAATTGCTGATAATCGCTCGAACTGCAAGGCTCGAATAATCGTATTTCCTTTTCCCAAATTGTCCATTTTTCTGCACAATCTCAGCGTCAATTAGGGAGACATTACTGTATACGGATTCTAATATTTTTATGTACAGTAAATTCTCCCCAATCGACGCTCGGATCGTGCAGAAAAATGGAGCGGTGTTTCGTACGTTGTTTAGTTTGCGCCAAGATCTGCATTGTTTAAAATGCTGTAGCATGGCCAGTTTTTATCGGTACTTAACATACGGTTTATTGTAGCAAGAAAATGGTAAGGTCAATGCGAATCAGATAATACCGTATTATCGTCGCTGTCGTCAGTGCTAATTGCAAGTAGATACGGCCGACAATGAACGGACGCGTTAGCGTTATAATTAGTCGCGTTCGAAAGCATGCGCGGAAGTTTCATATTTAATTAATTTTCGTACTGCATTTACACGCGTGTTCTTTACACAATTTATATTCTCCGTTCGAATTATTTATTTAAAGGGTAAACGAAAGGATAAGTAAAAGTAAATAAAAGGATAAATAACTTTTAGCCATCGTAAACGTACTCGAATGTTTCGTCGATGTTCCCCGAACAAGTTCTCTTTCAAGTTATGGTTAAGTGCTAATATTTTGCGCACTAAAATTCTGAATGTAAAGCAGGATTGACGCGAAGTGCCGACTCCGGGTCATTTATGAGTCATTATAAATTATGAGCCATACTAAAAGTGCGATCTGTTTCTCGCAGTATTAGATAATTAAACGGACGAAAACAAGAAAACACAAGGCGATGGTTCTTTATTTATTGCTTGCAAGAGGGTGTATTTGATTCGAAGAAAAAGAAAACGATCTTTAAAGCAGCAGTTTTTAACCCCCACGTTACGTCCCTTAACTGAAAAAAACTTGCACTCCAAAGGGATGGCTTGCAGAAAAGACCGAAATTGCTTTTGCAACAACTCGATAAATGAAACACAGTTACGAGAAATTGATATAAATTGGCTGGGAAAGTCTACAATGAAAAAGAAAAAAGGAACGATAGGATAAATCAAAGAATAAAAAAAAGTATACGATAGATAAGACTGATGGAGTAATTGTCGAATAAAATAAATAAATGGAAACAGGCGGACGAGTGGAGGCAATTCTTGGTTGCGAGGCTGAAGGAACAAGTAATAATAAAATAAAACATAGTTGGTCGAATTATAGCGCAAAACGTAAATAGACGATTATTAACAGAGAGAATCTCCTAAAAAATTATATTACTCTACGAACTCTATATTACTCTAATTATACCTCTAAGAACGGCTAATCTTACCGACACGTCAAGTCGGTATATAATCTATAGCGAAATTTTCAGTTACATTTCTCTCTAAATAAGAAACGAACGTTGAAATTTCATTCGATCGCAATTGTAGACGTTCCCTGTTAGAAACAGGGAAACAAATATTATTATCGCGAATTAAGTATTGTTAGTAATCGGTGCAGCACCGAATGCACTTGATATCGATCGAGCGAGGGTTAACAACGTTTCGTAAGCACGTACTTCTGGTCGAGAACGCATCGTTGCAACATTAAATTAGCCAACAACTTCAGTTTTTGCGCTTGCTATACTTGAAATTTATCCATTTTCCTGTTTCGAATACTGCGAGAATTTTATATACGCTATTGAAGGTGTTAAAATGCAACACAAATGAAACGTCATGAATAATAATCGAGAATCTTTGGTTGTGCAACTATTTTTTTTCAAAGCGTGTAAGCGTTGGGCGAGTTCAATTGAAAAATTCATTATTATAGTAAAAAATAGTATAAATTTTTTTTTTCATTGGAATAATTAGTATAAATTGGTACAATAAAATAATATATGTACTTGGAATAATATTTATACCGGTTAGCTCGGTATCTAAGCGTCGCTATTTATTTTTACCGATACCATTTGCTTTCTCGCAACGACTTTATAGAATTTTACAAATTCAATTACATAATTCGACAGTTAGGAAAGGAGAAGATTCATATAAAATAAGCGGAGGAATATTGCTGCAAGCAGAAGCATACGTACATTATTATATACATATATACAGGTGTGTGTGTATATATATACGTATATTGTTTGGAATGCGGAAACGTCCATTCGCAATGCTTCTGAATTCGACTTGGTCGGAAAGAGAACCGTGCAGTAATTTATATTCGATTATACGTCGCGCGTGGCAAACAAAACTACATCATCCAGCAGCATTATTATTTCGAGTCGGGTGACGACAATACGTGATATTAACGGATGCTCGAGGAGGCCGGTCGCGATACAAAATGTAGCCAAATATTTTCGACCGTGTTGTTGCAGAGTCATCCGTTATATTAAACCGGATTACGAGTCGCACGTTTATTTATCAACTTCTAAATATTCGATAAACAATATACGGTATAAAACGGTATACAGTAATGTCTCCCTTACCGACTTGTCCACTAAAATGGATAATTTGGAAAGAGGAGATACGATTATTCGTATTATTATATTCGATTATAATTGTGGACAATTTATAACTATAAAAATAAACTGCAAGGCTCGAATAATCGTATCTCCTCTTCCGAAATTGTCCATTTTTGTGCGCAATCTGGGCGTCAATTAGAGAGACATTACTGTAACTGTAAAAATGAACCGCGCGAGGCACGAATACAGTAATGTCTCCCTAACTGACGCTTAGATTGTGAAGAAAAATGGACAATTTGGGAACAGGAGATACGATTATTCCGGCTTTGCAGCATGTTTTTATAATCGTTGACAATCGGTAACTATAAAAACAAGTCGCAAGGCTCTCCTCTTCCCAAATTGTCCATTTTTGTGGACAATCCGAGCGTCAATTAGGGAGACAATTACTGTAATCGTATCCTGCTCTTCCCAAATTCTTCATTTTTGCTTCCAAGCTGAAGGAAAATCGGGAAGAATTTGCCGTATACGTATCTCGCGTGATGATCCGCGATCAATTCGCCACAGTTACGAGAGTTTTGTAACTGTTAATCCAACCCCCTGGTGGACGTCGACCGGAAACGTGGAAGAATCGAAAAACGAAGGCGCGAAGCGGCGCGCGGCTATCTTATGAAACTTTCGGATTCTATCTGACGCGTCCCTGCAGCCACCACCGGTAGTCTACCGCGGTTATTTTCGCTACGAAATTCCTCCGAATATACCTACATCGTCCGCAAAATCTTCTACATCTTCTCCCCTTCTACCTCATGACCCGAGGAACCATCGTACTTCTAGGTCGTATTAGATTACAGCGGGATCGTGGATTCGACGGTTCCCGGAAACCCGGCCAAGCCTTTCGAAAGATTCGCGGCGATGATCGGCCTCGCGGAGATACGAACCGGTGGAGATCCGTGTTTTTCGAGCGATCGTCCCGCTTTTATGTAACGCGGATAAATCTATTCCAAGTTTCATCGGTATTTGGACGGCGCTCGTATTACAGGGATCGTTTGGAAATTCTCGAGGCACGTGTGCCAGCTCGAGAAAAATTCGCGATGTCGCCGATACGAAAGATTCGCGAATCGCCGCGAGATCGAAGCGTTACAATTTCCGCTTCTACTTTCTATCGGATGTCGACGGCAGAAAAAGGCAGTTCGTGTTGCACTTTCGTTCAATTAGTTGCAACTTTCGGTCGAGGTTTCTTTTCTTCTTTCTTTTTTTTTTTTAAACGTGCGCTCGGTGTTTGGGAATTTGCTTATGCCTTCAACGTTGTTAGGGCAACTTTCTTTCGAGCTTTGTTCGTTAGAGAGAATAAGAAATACGAAGGGTTGCGCGGACATTGTACGAATTATAAATGTAGGGAAAGTGTGCACACGTTGACAACTTTTTCAGTATAAATATGTGCCAATATAATATTTTATAATATATAAATATTATTAAATAAATATATAATATAATATAATATAATATAATATAATATAATATATATAATAATATAATATATATAATAATATAATATATACTCTCTCTGTATATTATATTATAAAATAGGTTTATAATAATGGTTTACATATTTACGTAGGGACTTCTGGTTTAGATATTTCCGTCGCTGTATCGCGGGCAGAAATAGTTCGACCAAGTATTTCCCACTCGGAGGCCGATATAAAAGGGATCGGAGATGCATGATCTTGTCTACGTACACGCAGACAGTGCCGTGATCAACGATGATTCACGAAATAGATCGGATGCTGTACAGCAGCGACGAAGAACAAACAAGTCGGGGAAGTGGGTTACGAATCATCGTGCCGATGATGTTTCAGGATCGTTTATGAATGTTTGGTTATTCGATATACGAATCCGAGCCGGTCACTCGACCGTTTCGCATCGTTCTTCCGAAATCCGTGCCAAGAAATATGCTCGGGTATAAAGAGGACAGGACAATGGAGCGTCTCTAACGAGGCTCGTTCCAACGGAAAACGCTATTCTCTCTCGCATCTTCGTTATCCTCTCGAAGGTTTAACGCTGGAATTACCAGTCGGGCCCAAACGACTCGTTTCTAATTTTTTTTCTTTAAGAATATTAGTTGTTAGAATTGTGAAAATGTCCGTGAGTATTTACGCGAGCAATTTTTTAACGGACTGCGGATTTTATGCATTTGTGTTATCCCCGTATTCCGAAGTCTGCAGATGCCATAAATGCCGAAGCATCGGCAGTCTTGCGACAGCCGATAAACTTATGGTTGAATTAGCTATTACCTCCAATAAGAATGGCCTTCGATAATTCATGTGTACGTTAAGTTTTCTTAAATAACGACGACGGAATGGCCACCCGTGAGTCACACCGTCAGATAAGACATGCTGCTTAAAAAACAGTGTTCGCCTTCGATGTAACTTACATAAGATCGGAAATCGATTTTTCTTCGCTTCATATTTTTTACGCTTTTGTTCAGACCGGAGCTGCGAAACCAGTAAAATTTATTACTTATATACTATTACTTCTCTGCGAATAATATCTGCGACATTTGTGAGAAGACCGATTATATATTTAGGTATATATATATTTATTTGTTTATTTATATGTATATTAGAAATATATATATATATTTATATGTATATTAGAAATATATATATATTTATATGTATATATATTTATATGTATATTAGAAATATATATATATTTATATGCATATTAAATATATATATATGTATCTACGATACTTATCGGTCAATATCGTTATTTCAAAAAATAAACAACGAAAGCATCTATTTTACAACACGATTGGCTATCCACAATGTTCTGTTCCGATCGGTTTTCCGATCTATTCTCGAGTTAGTCGGAACACGATGCAGCAACATGCAACTAACAATTAGTTTTTGGCAATGCTCTGAAAGTCAAAGACGAAAGATTTGTTGCGGTCTCGGGATTAACGATCAACGACGTTGAATTAATGTTCGATTAGTCGAACGACTTGCACCGGATCGTGTTCGGTTGCCAAAGGGTAATTATACTAATACCTTATTTGTTTACGCCGAGTCGACCCAATTTCTCGAAGGATACCGCGGTACCCTTTGCGATAGTATCGAGACGATCGCGGATTCGAAGCTGCCAAAATCTCTGTCTGTCCCCGCCTATTTAATGAAATGTACGTCTCGGCATGATTCACACCGAGATCGACCTACCGACGAGGAAAGGAAATATTTTCGTGCTTTATTCTTTAGGGGAGGGGAAACGTTAAGAGATATTACAAAAGAAAAGCAACGAAGCAACCACGATCGACTTTGAAATGTTAAATTTTTAATTACTTTTGCTCGCGTCTTTTCGTTCACGTAGCAATTAAATGTTTAGAAATCCAATACGGTAAATTCTCCCGGATTTTCCTTCAGCTTCTCTTCCCACAGTGTCCATTTTCGTTCACAAGCCGAAGGAAAAATTGGGGAGAATTTACCGAGTTTACCGAAACAAGTATACGCAAAATACATCTAATTTTGGAATTTCCGATGCAAAATTATAAAGATTTGTTTACACTTGCATATATCGCTGTTTCTATCGGTTTCGGAATCATTAGTCGAAGCGCGTTGCTTCGAGTAGCGTAGAACACGTTGAAACGCGCGGCTTTTTGAATATATTATGATTTCTCTGACCGTCGCATTTTCTGTTATATTCCAGTGCCTGAGAACTGACCCGACAGAACGGCAAATATGTCCACGCAAAGGACAATGTTGGTGAACAAGCAGTTCAACTCGCCTATCAATCTTTACTCGCCACAAACGATACAGGAAACATTGGACAGGCAGACGCAAGTTTTGTCCAACGGTGCGGTCGGGTAAGCAAATTTTCTACAATATTCTACAATATTCTACAAAATTCTACAAAATAAAAATTCTTCACGTCAGTTCTTTAAGACACTGTATACTCGTAAAAACTTATCTTCCTCTAAGCTTTCATTTATGACACGACGATTTATAAAACAGAATAAAGAGCACGTGAATTTGTTAAGAAAGATTCTTAATAGAAATTTCAATAGAAGTGCAGCAGATTTTTATAAAAGATCTTTGATAGAAATTTAGATTGCAATAAAATGTTAATTACAATAAATCCGTAACAACAACGAATTGTTATTAAGCATTCGCATAATAAGATAGGTTTTCATGGAAATTGAAATTATAGTAGATTTTCATAGAACAGCGAATAGAGATTACAGGTTGTCGACGATCGGTAACAATAAAAACGAGCAGCGAGGCTCGAGCAATCGTGTCTCCTCTCCACGAATTGTCCACTATTGTGCGCGATCCGAGCGCGAATTAGGGGCGTAATTGGCCACCTTGCGTCGATCCGCTCTCTGCACGGGTCGTTTCTCGACGTGCTCGTATCGATTCCCGTTGGTCGAGCAGAGATGCTGACCGGTTGCAGGTTGATGAATCAGCGATCTAGTCGTCATTGGGCGAGTCGGCTGTTATTTTCAGAGGGCCGAATCACACGGGTTAGAAATAAACCCCGCTCGGAGGCTGGCCGTTGCGCAAAGCCCGCGAACGCTATCGTACTTGACTTAGTTTCGCGTTTGGTGGCCTCGGGGTTGCGTGGTTCACCGGCAGGTTTCCCTTGCGTGTCGCAGGACTTGCTTCCTTTCTCTCGCGTTCTCTTCCGCCCTTCGCCGAAATGCTCACCCAGACCAGGTGATCAACAGAATTCACGATTTCACGCGGCTTCGTCCCCCGTTTCGTCGCTTTGCTTCTCGTTTTTGCTCGGCGAGCTGTTGGATAAACCGTGTAAACAAACGCGCCTATTGTCCAACGCTGCACCCAGTCGTCGCTAAACAAATTTCCAACGGTTCCTAACAACGGGACGCGAGCGATCGCTGCACACCGTGTTTCGTTCTATCTTATAAAGAATACGCGGCTCGATTACCCGCCTACGCTTTCAAGTAGTTCGCATTAAACAACCTTTAATTAATATTGTCGTCGAAGTGTCTCGCGAGTGATAGATAGGGGTGGTTTTGGTTCAACCTCGTCGGGGCTGTTCGAAATGCTAAAAAATTGAAGTATTTGTGGTGATGTCGCCTGTGACCGTTCGAAAGTCAGCTTCGTTTAACTTGGAGAAACTAAAAAGTGTGAACTAATTGGTAGAAGGAAAATTGATCGCAAATTCTGTGACATTAATCTTGAACCGAACTGAAAAAAGTTAAGAAACATGTTACGCGGATCGCTGCATCGTGTCAACGAAGATGTTAATTTTACTTTTTAATAATTACTTAATTTTCTATATTTTTGTATACTTTTTGTATTTCTTTCTATCTATCGAGTGCGCTGAATGAAACAGTATTTATTATATGCTTCGCTATAGCATGTACTTTGGATTTTACTCAAATGTAAACGAAATGTAAAAAGTTTCTTAACTTTCGTCGGTGAGGATAGTTCTACTTTCCATCGTATAATGAGCTATTGTCGGCGATTTCTCAGAAGATATACGATGCAATCAGCCTGAGAACGTAATCCAACAAGATTCGGAATTGTTAAAGTTTATAGTTTTGCTGCAAAATATTTGAGACCAGGGATTTGCAGGGATTTGTGCATATTCGACGAAATAGGATATCCTCGAAAGTTCGCTGCACGTCCACAAATTTCGCGAACGTTCCATCGAGCCGAGGAAAATTGGTACCGTGCAACGTAGAGCCGCTTTAAACGCGATCGAACAAAAACAGAAATGAACCAACACTTGCACGCGTTATAATAGTTGCGGTTCTTTGTGTATGCCATAAATCGTTCGAATGCTTTAACGCTCGCTCACCGTGCTTATACATACCGATATTTTGGCATCGGCGTTTCGCCGCTGTCTCATCTCTGTCGCACGTAACCGTTAAGTACAGTAATGTCTCCCTAACTGACGCTCAGATTGTTCACAAAAATGGACAATTTGGGAAGAGGAGATACGATCGTTCGAGCCTTGCGGTTTGTTTTTATAGTTACGAATTGTCAACGACTATAAAAAACGAGCTACAAACGCTCTAATAATCGTATCTTCTCTTCCCAAACTGTCCATTTTCGCGGACAATCTGAGCGTCGATTAGGGAGAGATTACTGTAGCTCGAAACTATAAGGAAACGCGTGTTTCGCATCGACAACGACGAGAACAGAAAATTAACGAAACAGCGGATTTCGCGAAAGGGTTCGATGCCTGCGCGGTTACAAATTTTAATCGATCTTCCCCCTCTGCGTACAATACCGATAACGAAGGGCTGTACGATAGAAAAAAGAGTGACGGATTCGGTGAATTTTCTAGGATCGACTTCAATCAGTTAGCCAAACCGGCTAACTTGCAGAACAGCGCGGTTCTACGGATGCTCGAGGAGGAGGAAGCCNTGTCTCATCTCTGTCGCACGTAACCGTTAAGTACAGTAATGTCTCCCTAACTGACGCTCAGATTGTTCACAAAAATGGACAATTTGGGAAGAGGAGATACGATCGTTCGAGCCTTGCGGTTTGTTTTTATAGTTACGAATTGTCAACGACTATAAAAAACGAGCTACAAACGCTCTAATAATCGTATCTTCTCTTCCCAAACTGTCCATTTTCGCGGACAATCTGAGCGTCGATTAGGGAGAGATTACTGTAGCTCGAAACTATAAGGAAACGCGTGTTTCGCATCGACAACGACGAGAACAGAAAATTAACGAAACAGCGGATTTCGCGAAAGGGTTCGATGCCTGCGCGGTTACAAATTTTAATCGATCTTCCCCCTCTGCGTACAATACCGATAACGAAGGGCTGTACGATAGAAAAAAGAGTGACGGATTCGGTGAATTTTCTAGGATCGACTTCAATCAGTTAGCCAAACCGGCTAACTTGCAGAACAGCGCGGTTCTACGGATGCTCGAGGAGGAGGAAGCCAGGCAACGAAATGGCCAACCAAGTGAGTACTATTATACCGAGTGTTACTAATTTCTTTCTCCCTGACAACATACGAACCTGGGCACAATTCAAATATCATTTCGATCGACGCGAAATCTTATGGTACGAATTATTTGAAAGAATTATCTGTGATAATTGTGAAATTCTTCTTGGGCGTTATAATATTTTTTTATTTAACTCCAAGAATTATATGTTCGCGAAGGAAGAGTTTTGTTTAAAACGAATATCGACGTTGTATTCTTGAATATCGCATCGTTGTAGGAATATTTTTTACACGACCAAGAATATAATGTAGAGAGTTATTTGCAAAATTATCGTTTGAACACGTTTAGGGGTGGGATTTGAAATTATCGAATTAATTTTAAAACTAATTTTAAAACTAATTCTAAAAGTAAGATCTGTAAAAAGCGGTAAAGATCTCTTTAAAAAAAGTACTACGAGAAAAACGCGAGATCGGCCGTTGAATTTTTTACGTGGCGCGAGTCGCACGGCGATCATTGTAGCAAATAATTCTCGATTTAGCAGGGAAACATTATCACCCTTGCTCGAGAAAGATTTGGCCGCGAGTCAAAATCGGGCTTGTCGAACAGACGTCTCGCAGACAATACAGAAACAATTCGCAAGCGCAGAAAATTTGTACAACATTAATGGCCTCGATGGATCTTTTCAGCATGTTAATTAATAGGTGCGCCGACCGATTGCGCTTTATTAGCGAGAAACCGCGCTCTCGGGGATGTTGCATAGTTAGCAAGCGGATACACGGATTCCGCGAACGGAGACTAATCAGAAGCTGCGAAGACTAACAAGAGGCGAATCTCACATGCTGCGAACTGCTAGCCTAAAGCGAGGAAGACTAACACCGCTTTCAGAAAAGCTGGTTTGCGCTATCGACCAAGAGGTGAACGCTAACAACTTCGCTTGCACGAGACGTGTAATTGTCTAACGCTCGAATCGATCTTAGGATGACACCGTATCGCTGTTACGTGTATTGTATCACACATCTCTGAGATCGCTGAATTCGAAGCGATGTAAAAAGAGGGAAAAATTTATTAATCGCGTATTCGTATCCAACTCTACATAATTAAATTTTACAAAACTTCTTACTTACCATACTTTAAAGTACATTTTCCAAAGATTTGGCAATTTCTGGTAATACAAAATACCGATTTCGCGTTTGTAGATGACCGGTTGAACTATTTATCACGTTGAATCAGCTTCGATGATGCGAGCCAAAAATTAATCGTGCTTTATTTCCTTCGATATCCGATGTTTGTTAAAGTCTTTTTGAAGCGTCGATGCAACAGTGTCATTCTAGGGTTAAATTCGGTCGAGTTTAATCGTTATTTCATGCTTGCAGCTTTACAGCTTGCTCCGTTTGTTCCATGCACTTTTGTCCACGTTGCTTTTGCTATTTGTGTTTGTATTTTTCACGCTTTAATTCTTGTAGAAAAATTAAAAGTTTACCTGCAACCTACCGATAGCTGCGACAGTAGGGTAGCGCTAGTAAGAGAGAGAGAAAGGTGCCATCTTGCGATGGAATCACCCCTTTCTGGGTGTTAACATAATTATGGGACACCCTGTATGTTTAAACAGGGATTTAAACCATCGATACAGAGATTTGAGAATCTATCGCTTTATCGTCTACCATAGCTATTGCAACACGTTTCTATCAAGAAATCTTGCAGGGGGATGAAATATAAAATATCTTCGGTACTGACGAGAAACTGCAAAATACGAGTCTGCTTATTTTTGCCTCAGATTCATAAAAAATATTTTTGCAAAATCGACGACCATTTGGTTGTGCTGCTCTCTCTCTCTCTCTCTCTCTTTCTCTCTCTCTTGCTCTGAAGATCGGTGAAAATTGCGTTAAATTCAGAAGTGCAGGCTCGACGAATAACGAAGAAAAAAAAAGAACAAGTTCGACTTCGAAACCGTGAAACCATAATGAAAACCATTTTCTGTTCCTGCATGTACATAAAAGGGGGATTATCCGAATCGTCTCCCTACCTATCGCTATCATTCCCCACTTTTTGGACAGCAACCAAGGAAGCTCTAAAATCGGTAGCCAGGTCGTTCCTGCGATAATGAAAAGTGCAAGTGACTTCGGGGTAGCGTTAGTTGTTGGCCAGTGTCCGTTTTGGCAAAGTCGATACCTTCTTCTTCTTCTTCTTCTTCTTCGTCGTCGTCGTCGTCGTCGTCGTCGTCGTCGTCGTCATCCTCGCCGTAACCGAGTGCCGTCTTTTACAAAGTCATGTGAAATCCATGGTACGTTCGCCCGATAAATCGAGTCGACGAGCGACAGAATTTTTGACGATCGTTCCGCACGCGTAATTAAATCGAGAACAATCCGGTACGAACGGTGGGATTTTCGAAGATTTTCTTCCACCGTGTCTGTCGATAATAAATAACGAGTGACATTATATATATACGATAACTGTGTGCGTGTAACATTAATTAAATGTGCAGAAGAAAAAAACCATTTTTTCGCTTTGTATCGGACCGACGTAAGAAGACGTTTTGTACTTAAATTGCAGAAATAAATAATTTCAGTTGCAGATTTTCTGGGTGACTTTTATTATTTGAAGTTGCAGCCNTGCAGGCTCGACGAATAACGAAGAAAAAAAAAGAACAAGTTCGACTTCGAAACCGTGAAACCATAATGAAAACCATTTTCTGTTCCTGCATGTACATAAAAGGGGGATTATCCGAATCGTCTCCCTACCTATCGCTATCATTCCCCACTTTTTGGACAGCAACCAAGGAAGCTCTAAAATCGGTAGCCAGGTCGTTCCTGCGATAATGAAAAGTGCAAGTGACTTCGGGGTAGCGTTAGTTGTTGGCCAGTGTCCGTTTTGGCAAAGTCGATACCTTCTTCTTCTTCTTCTTCTTCTTCGTCGTCGTCGTCGTCGTCGTCGTCGTCGTCGTCGTCATCCTCGCCGTAACCGAGTGCCGTCTTTTACAAAGTCATGTGAAATCCATGGTACGTTCGCCCGATAAATCGAGTCGACGAGCGACAGAATTTTTGACGATCGTTCCGCACGCGTAATTAAATCGAGAACAATCCGGTACGAACGGTGGGATTTTCGAAGATTTTCTTCCACCGTGTCTGTCGATAATAAATAACGAGTGACATTATATATATACGATAACTGTGTGCGTGTAACATTAATTAAATGTGCAGAAGAAAAAAACCATTTTTTCGCTTTGTATCGGACCGACGTAAGAAGACGTTTTGTACTTAAATTGCAGAAATAAATAATTTCAGTTGCAGATTTTCTGGGTGACTTTTATTATTTGAAGTTGCAGCCAAGTGGCTCTCATCCTTTTTTCTCTCGGCAACACACGATTTTCCGTTGATTCTGCGAACGAAAAAGAATATTTTGTTTGCCCTGGCAAACTTTTTCACGCCCCGTGTTGTTACGAAAAATAATTAACAACTGTGTTTAACATGATAAACATTAAATCGTTGAACGATCTACCACAACGTAGAAATTTTAAACGATATAAATTAAATTCATATTCCAATGTATGAAATACCACAGAAAATTAACAACTGTGCTTAACATAATAAAAATTAAATCGTCGAACGATCTACCACAACGTAGAAATTTTAAACGATACAAATTAAATTCATACTCCAACGTATGAAATACCAGAGATTTCTCTTTACGCGATAATTATCCTGATAAAAGATCGCTGCAATAACATCTTGTAAATAGCTATCGAAATGCTTTCATCGTAAGTGTCGGTTCGAATGAATTTTTAAAGAAAATATTGATCCAATATGATATAATATATTAACAAATGAAAATTATATTAGCTCGAGGTTGAACTTATTTCTTTAAGAATTTAGTTGGTAAGTTTGCAGCAGCATCTAGAGAAGCGAGTGCGAAGCCAAGGTGGTCGTAGGACGTATTCATCTGTCAGTTAGCCAATTGTATCGTGTTCGTATACATGATTCATGTTCCACAACTAAACGTAAATATTTTTAGGAAAGTTTTGAAAAACTGTTCTTCGGTCAACTCGTCGATTCCTACATATTTTTGTTCTACATTTCTCTAGAAAAGAAACAACAAATCCTTCAAGATTTGCACATGTTTCAGATTCTTATCAATCGTCTTCCGTTTTAATAAATTTTTCGGTTCTCCATATATTTTTCTATAAAAAATTGAATATTCTTCCAATTCGAATTCATCGAACCGAATTGTATTTACCAGTTTCTATATTTTGAACGCAAACATATCTCATGGAATAAAATATCGACCCGTTCGTATATTTCCGCGTAAGTATCGGCTCGAAAAGCAATATTTTTTCAGGATGGTCGGCCCAATTTCGCATAAACGCATAAACGTTAAATTCGAATCGAGTCGGTGGTCGACGCCGACGTATCGAATAGGTACTCGGTCGACCATTTAACAACAACCAACAAGTTCTATTCTATTTCGAAAACCATATTTTTGTTGCCATGGTCTCTCTCTCTCTCTCTCTCTCTCTCTCTCTCTCCGCGTTGATATCCAATATTCGAGGCTCGAAAAACCAAAGAATCTAAGAATACAGCGAGGTCGCGCCGAAATCAACCGAATTCTTCGGCAATAAACGCGTAAATATAAACTTGGCCGGCGGCACGCCTGCGGTGTACCGGAGTGAATAATAATTCGTTTTATTGACGCAATAACTACACTTTTCCACGTTTCTTTCTATTAAACACGGGAAAACGTAACCCGATCTTCGGAACTCGCGGCCAACTAAGCCGACGCAAATACGCGACACGGCCGACAGCAACGAAACAGCTGACTCGCGAACGATATTTTTTGATTTATATCTCGCTCTTCGAACTTGTCTTTTTGCCCGTGAAATCATGTTCTTTCGAGCAAGAAATTTCAAGCGAGATTTATCGTTCGCTAACGTCGTTTCGTGCACGATAATAAAAGTCATCTCGATAAGGATACCGCGTGGTCGAAGCGTCTTATATATTTGTAATCGTGACAAATAATCCAATATCGCGTTCGATTATTAATTTATAATTCGTGAGAATACTCGAAAGTAACAATTAATAATTAAGTATTAAACGCGATTCATTTTTGGTACGAATCAACATTTAACTCTTTGCACTCGTAGCAATTTTAACTGTGAGTTTAAATTAATTTTTCCGACTTATGGTATTTCCATTTTATATGACAGAGTGCATTTTATGCATATGAAGTTTATAGTCTCGCGACTCATACGACAATTAGACTTTTAACAATTTTTTACATCTAGACTTTTATGATATAAAAATTATCTTGGAACGTAATGGTGCCTCAGAGTCGTCACTCGAGTGCAAAGGGTTAACATCCGCGTACGCAAAATTTCCCTTTTTTTATAACGTTCAAAGCTATCGATGTAAACAGTGTCGTCTTCTTTTATTTGTTTAACATTTATTTTGTGCAATTATGTGACTGCAGAATGCTTTTAGTTGTCGAGAAATGAGCAAAGAATTGAAATGAGCACCGAAATCGATGCGATAAAAAAAAACATTTGAGTCCGAAGTTTAAAAAAAGGAAAAAAGAAACAATATTCGTACGATACGTCGGGATCTAAAAATTCGCGTGGCACGTTTATTTCGATCGAGTCATCGAGTGGCTCGCACCGTGCAATTTCTGTTCCGCTCTAGCTTATATATACATATGTGTAATACGTTACAAGCCGCGTAGGAGTGACATGTTATTTAAAAAAAAAATAGAAATACGTAAATCTCGGCCGGATACGTTACTTTCACGTTTGAAATTTCAACGGATTCCAGTATAAACTAGATTTTTTAAATGTCCCGAGCAACGATCTTTCTCGCGGAAAATAATACGAGAATATTTCGTTGTACATTCCTCGATGCCACTTATCGACTGTATTTAACATTCTAACGTATATAATACATAATTCTGTGTATATAAACATAATAATCGATTAACAACGACTGTCTGCTCGTAAGAACGTTGCGTTAAGCAATCGTTGACAAATGTTGAAAAGATTGTTATATCGTTCACACGTTTGGTTCGATACGCTTGCGTTTTATATCTGATAATTGATCAACCGTTTAGCTTCGTCGTAAATAAATAATTTATTTACAATGTATTTAACCGTGTATATCGCTGACCCTACAGACATCCGATAAAAATTCCATTTATTGGAATTTATTTAATTATTCCGTTTGATCAAATTTGTGTCTCGTTGTTGAAACGCGGTGATTTATGAATTATTTAAATTGTTCGCAGCTCTTAAACGAGTAGCTTGGCCACCACCGCCCGAAGAACAGGATTACGAGTTTGTGGAACAAGGACCAGTACAGGCGAAGGTAAATTCTTTATGTCGTTTAGCAGAATCGAACCAGATACTTTTATCAAGTGTTTGAACAATATTCAGGATAATTATGATATTCCAGTGGATTCGCGCTATCAGTAATTTCTACAGTTAATCCAAAACTTACCTTGTTCGGTCTTTCGAAAACAGTGTAGCCAAGTTTGAGCATCTTCCTTCTAACTTCCGAAATGATTCGAATACAAATTTTCGAAAACTGCATATTTATCTGCATGCATTTTACGGACAATGTCGTTTTATCAAAAAAATGAATATCGAACAGCAAAAATGAATATCGTAAGCTCGACACCATCTTGAAAAATCGTCTGGAAAAATACGAATTCGTTAAAATTACACACAAAATGAAAAAGTGTCGAGTTCTCGATTACCTGTTGCTGAAACGTATGCGATCAAGATGCACACAGTTCGATATTTAAAATCGATATAGTAATCCTTCACTTTTGTACAAACGCGACTTTTCTATTTATGTGAGTTTGATAGTTGTCGTATTGCTGTTTGCTCGTACCTTCGCCGTCATAGATTTATACTAGTGACAATGATATCCCTTTTTTTTTCTGTTCATCTCGTCGTTTTCGTGTTGCGAATGAATGTCCTTTTTTTCACGTGCCTGCTGTAATACTGTTTACTGCTGTATAAAAATTCATTCATGCTTTTGGAGATCGATGTATCGGATTTCCAAAACGAACAAATAATAATTGTAACGCTTGACAAATGCGGTTGACTACACCACTGTCGCTATCGAGGCGGATATACCGAGTCTGATTCCCCTAAAGAAGAAGACACGATCGACAATTCAAAAGGAATACGAAAGAATGATGAAACTTGAACGAATTGAAAATACATCAAGTTGATCGTTCGATGCAGCATATTTCCTATACAAAGCCCTCTGTTTTCCCATAAAAAGACCCGTGGAATCGGTGAGTTCGCCTCGTACCAGAGCAGTCCCTCGTCAGGTTCGTCACCTCAACCACCGTCGACGATCGCTCGTTCGTCGACGCGGAGTGCCGTCCCATCGTCCCCGTCACCGGTTAGTCCTGGTGGAACTCTGCGACAGCCTTCACACTTCCAACAGCAACTTCTGCCGAAGGGTTGGGCCCCTGTAACGCCTCCTGCGACGTCCCCGATATTGCAGCAGCCGATCCATCCGGTTTCCTGGTCTAGTCAACAACAGCAAAATCAACGACCGCAGGTAAGTCGCGAAAGCATAGGTGTCGAACTCAAATTGCTGCGCGTGTTACACGCCTGCAAACATGTATAATTCCACCCTCTATATAGAGGGTGGAACGCTCAAGCGCGAGGCCACCTAAATATTTTCATAATTATTTCCAAAAAGTAGTAGATTACAATAAATAAAGGTACACGATTGTCTACAAGAAAAGATCATCTTGCAGCAGCATTGTCTAATAAATTTCGAAATTGACGAATCAAACGAACGAGGAAAGCTTTATTTAGGATATCACCAAAAATAAGATGCATGAACTTAATGGGTGTGTCAAACGAGCTGCTCGTAACATTGTTTATCAAGGGGTAGATTCATCTAAGAAAATGATTGGACTACTATTGAAATCGACACCTATGCGTCTACAGAGTTTAATCCATAAGTAATGTCCCTTTAGAACTCGTTGCCAAAATGTCTTATACGATGAAATCTAATCTACATATGTGTTTGTAGCATGTCAACTATTAGTGTAAAATAATCGCTTCATTTTCCGTTGCTTCTTCATCAAACCGTTGTATAATGATCCGCTGATAAGAGTAAGAGTAAACGCGACAATCTCTTTGAATACTTTTGATTGTTTGCTTTGCTTCATTCTTACTTCGATCATTGCTGTAATAACAGAGACGCGTTGTTTCAAATCGATCAAATATTCTAGAAAATTATCTAATACGTATTAAAAATAATAAAAAAAAAACGAAGGGAATTCATTCATTAAAAAGAATGACATTACTTATGGTTTACTCTATATTTTGAAAAATTCAATCGACAGGTGGATCACTTCGACAGGTATCGATCACTTCGATAACAAGAAATGATTTCATTTTCAAATTTTTTTCTGTGTTCCTCCCTCCTCTGTCCCGGAACGAGTGTGTAGTCAACGGCTGTGTATTACGAAGACCTCGAAATATCTTTTTCTTTTCAAACTTGGGAATTATATCGTAATTAAAAAATGCACTTAATCGTATTGTTGATTACAGCAACAACCACAAGATTTTTACTCGTCGCAACGACAATCACAAAATCCAACCCCTGTTGCGTTCGAAGCACCACCATCCACAATCATACTTCGTCCGGAGCCTCCAATCTCGCAGGTCTGACTCACATGTTACATGTGTATCGTCAATTTCTCATATATTTATAACACGTGTTCTTTCTTTAAACTCTACAACTTCTTGTAATAAAAGACTAGAATAGATAGAATATAAATAGAATATATATTATAATATAGAATAGAATAGAAATAATAATAGACTAGCGATAAGAATAATAAATGTTGTTGCAAGAGTTAATGTTAATATATTTGTTTTGCTTAAATGATTCTATCAGGCACCAGCCCCAGTTTACCAAGCACAACCTGCCGCAACAAAGGCTCCAGTTAGTGGAAACATGAGAGGAGACCTAAAGTGGCCACCACCATCGGTGAAAGCTCAAACAGAAGCTGAAAACAAAGCCAGGATGGATTTGGCGAAAGGACCTGCAGTCAGACCTCGCAGAGTACATAAGGATTACAGCGGTTTCTTTGCTCAACATGCCTTGAACAGCACGTACCCTGGTTACCGAGCTCCACCAGGCACTCAATATTTCACCCCTTCCTACCAGCAGCATTAGCGAATCTTGCTTGAAGATTATTTACTTCCTTCTAAATGTCCTGAGACTGACACTTTGTAATGAATATCTGGAATCTTTGAATCAGAATTTAAACGTATGCAGAAATTAATTAAAATTTTAATTGTGGTGAAGTATGAAGATTTTGTATGGTAAACGTGTAAAATTGAAAGGATCTATATCATCTGTACCAAACACAGATACTCAACACGTTGATGACATTGTAAACTATAGAAAAAACGAATACATTAAATTTCATAATTATCATAGATGAAATATTTAGAATTTTTGTTTTATTCCTATTTTTGTCAAAAATGTTATTTACTTTTAATCTCGTAGTCTTTTATTAATATCATCAAAAATTTCAAGATCTTTCACACGAAATGAATTTTTTCCACCTTGTTTAAAGTTTATCCACATTTAAAATGTATCCATATTACAATTTTCATACTTTTGCTATACGAATATTTTTCTCTCATCACATATGTGTATAATATTCAATACAAAATCACTCAGGACTGTTCTCGTTGGATTTCGAAATTTGTACATTAAAAAAATAGAAAAAGAACCAAACGAATGACCGACTAACATTATATATATATATTTATATATATATATATATATATATATATAATATATTTAAATATCTTTTAATTAGGATTATTCTTATATGTATAGGACTTAGGACTACACATGGATTACAGGGTACGTGTTCTTGCTCTTTCAGTTCTTTGTCCAAAATTAGCTTTATACTTTCACGAGATATAATTTTTAAGGTTCTTAGAGTGTTTTCTGTTCGAATTTCGAATTTCAACAATAACTTGTATATACTGAGACTGATCAAATGATTGCTTTTTATCGAACGCTAATCAGTAATGTAGCATTACAAACTGTTATCGTGCACTTGTTTTGAATTTAACGATGAACATAGCATTGTGGCAAAAAAAGAAAGTTATCTCGTGGAAGAGTGGAATAAANGATGAACATAGCATTGTGGCAAAAAAAGAAAGTTATCTCGTGGAAAATTGGAATAAAATATAAATACGAATTTTAACGAAATATTACGACTGTGCAAGCAAAAACTATTAAACGAATAACGAAAATCGAATAAAAATTACGAAAAATTGTACCGAAATAAGTTTTGTAAAACGATTCGACAACTGTTCATAAAATGACTAACA